GATGATGTTTTTTGAACGATTTTGAAACATAGTTACCCATTTGAATAATTTCCTATTGTTTTTTTCCTTTACTTATTTTTTACCGGTAATTGCCGGTTACCATAATGTCAAATTTGAACAAAGAATGTACTTCGTTGGTGTTTTTTATACAAATGTTTTACTTGGATGATGTTTTTTAGACACATCAAACTTGAGTTATATTTTTTTGAACGATTTTGAAACATCTTATTATATAAGTCTTTTTCCCTAAGAAACATGGATGGAACCTAATTGGAAGAAAAGTCCATCTCAATGCTCTCACCTCCTAAAAAACGATAGCCGATAAGAAATAAGTTTTTAAAAAGTCACCTAAATGTTGACGTGGAGAAAATACAACCCTTTTTTACAATTTTGTTATTTCTATTTGTCACACCCCGAAACCGAAGGCGGAAATGTTCCGGGGTGGACTCCACGTTGAGTATCAAATCCAATGCACATAGTAAGTAAAGTAAACAACCATTACATTACATATTAGAATTTACATCAGTTCAAAAGTAAAGTGTTACAAGTGTTATACATATGTATATATGAACAAAAGCAGAGACGAGTCTTCTGTACACTCCATCTTCTCCAAAAGGATCGCTGGGTACCTGTCTAATATGGATATGAGAATACAAGCAGTTTGAAAATCAGCATAAAGCTGGTGAGTTCATAAGATGTTTGTTTTTTGAAAATGTACAAGTTCCCTTTGGTTTTCCGAAAAAGTTTGTTATCCAAGAAAATCCCATATTTTCTTATATGTAAAGTTTGATTAACTGTTTTATTACACGAATCTGGTTATGTACAATTGTTATCCCAGGAAAATCCTATATTTTCCTAAAAGTAAGTTTAGTTATTGAATCCCAATGTAATGTTTGATTATCTTTCATACTTGTTATATTAGCTAGGTATTCTGATATCCTAATTGTGTTACACTTGAATGTACCTAGATGCGTGCCTTCGTATTCGTATTCCTATTCTTAATCATATTCATATTCGTATTTTATATTTGTATTTGTATTCATATTTGTATTCCTATTCGTATTCGTATTCGCATTCGTATTCGTATTCCTAGTCCTATTCCTAATCCTATTCGTATTCGTATTCGAATTCGCATCCGTATTCGTATTCGTATTCGTATTCGTATTCGCATTCGTATTCGTATTCCTATTCCTAACCCTATTCGTATTCATATTCGTATTCGTATTCGTATTCGTATTCGCATTCGCATTCGTATTCAGATTCGTATTCGTATTCCTACTCCTAATCCTAATCCTATTCGTATTCGTATTCGTATTCGCATTCGTATTCACATTCGCATTCGTATTTGCATTCGTATTAACATTCGTATTCGTATTCCTACTCCTAATCCTAATCCTATTCGTATTCGAATTCGAATTCGTATTCGCATTCGTATTCGTATTCCTAATCCTAATCCTAATCCTATTCGTATTCGTATTCACATTCTTATTCGTATTCCTAATCCTAATCCTAATCCTATTCGTATTCGTATTCGTATTCGCATTCGTATTCGCATTCGTATTCGCATTCGTATTCGCATTATTACTTTAGTATTCCTATTCATTCTGTTCCTAGTTTATACTTTCGTATTCATTCTATTCTTAGTTGTATTTTCGTATTCGTTCTGCTCCTAGTTGTACTTTCGTATTCGTGTTCGTATTAGTTCTAATTGATGATTAGTATGAATTATTCATAGATTATGAAATATAATTTAGATTGTAACACTTTATCAAGAAATCTATGATTTGTCTGAAAGCTAACTTCGTAATTCGAACTATTTGTTTAACACAATTTTTCGATATTAAAACATACAGAATATAAACATTTGAACTAAAAATAATAAGTTTGAGTACAAGATTTCCTTGTACTTTTGCTTGTATCCCCCCTGAAAACATTTGAAAAAGGGTAGGGGTATGAACTCACCGGTCGAGAAACGTGTCGGATTGAATGCTAAGTGTCGGTTCTGGGTTTGATAACGCGCGAGGTTCCTATGTAATATGAAATGATATACAAATGTATCTAATTAGACTTTAAATCACTAAATAGATATGATTATACACTCCAAGACGCGAAAACACTTCAAATTAAGTGTTTGGAGTGACCCGGGTGACATCTACGGACGTATATGGCTTGGATAATGTGTTTACTCTTCGAGAGTAAACTCCTTATGGAGTTTTCGGCCCTAAGACCAACTCCACATGAGTTCACGGCCGTGAGCTCATGGGTGAGGGATTTATGGTGCTAAATGGCCTTATATGACTTGGGAAAATTAGCTAGGATGAAATCTAGGGCATAGGAATGGATTCAACTCACTTATGGACCATTTAATGGAGTTTACGGTAGTAAACTAGGTGTTTACGGCCGTAAACTCCCCCATACCCTTTCCTTATGTGTTTTGGTGGTGTTAGGACAATTACATGTGCTTTAAACTCATTTTACAAGCCTTGGATGGAATTTTGGGCATCATTTGACTATGTTATAGGAGTTTACGACCCAGAAACCCATCCTTGGGGGGTTTACGGCCATGAACTCCTAAGGGAGGGGTTTTCATTGAGTTTAAGGCTTCTAATTCGTTTGTGGTTGATTCTAGAATTTAATCCAAGGCTCTTGGAGTGTTTAAGTGGCTTTTAAACACTCAAATATGAGTTTACTCTCCATGAAGGTGAGTTACGACCCAAGCATGTTCTTGGGCAGTAAACTCATGTTTATTCCCCAAAAATTGGATTCAAGGTGTTCTAAGTCCAGTACATTAAGTCATATAGCCATATCTAAGCTCCAAAGGTCGATTGGAAGGGTTTAAAGGCTCAAAAACCCATCATATGTGTGTTTATGGCCCAAGCATGTTCCAGGGCCGTAAACACATGAAAATGGCCCTAAATGATTGTTTGAACTCGGATTTGAAGGTCTAAGATGCTATACTAAGAGTTAGGGAAGTTACCTTGGAGATTTGGGGCTTGAATTCAATGATTTTTGGACTTAAAGTGTGGATTTGAGGAGAGAGGTTAAAGAGAGAGTGAAAAGGCTTCAAATGAAGCTTAAACCACTTTATATATGGTTCGGGTTTGGGACACGGTGGAATTCTACTTGATGATGGCGTTAAACGGGGCTTTTGGTCGCACCCGATTAAGTTGTCGTAACCCGGCGGGATAAATTCTAAAATTTATCTAATTATCAAATTGGGGTGTTTTCTTGAGTTTCTAATGAGTTTGGGTACTAATTAGGTCATAATAGAAGTCTCGGAATAAATGACTTAATTTTAAAAATGTAAACAGAAATGATTTGAAAAAGACGAATTTATAGATGGAAACAGGTTTCGACGATGACACGAACTTCGGGTTGTCACACTGTTAATTTGTTTTTAGGACAAATTATTTGAATTTTATACTGTTATTATCTGTATATGGTGGATAATTATGATTTAAATAATACTCCATTATTTAATTTTTGTAACCGGATATTATTTATACATAAAAATAATAGCCTTAACTCTTACGCATATACATGAATTATTATCATATATAATTTTTTTGAGCTGTTGTATTATTAAATATAATTTTTTTTATCGTCAAACCGCGTAAACGGTTTATAACATATTTTTTCATATGACAGTAAACCGCGTAAATCAAAGCCTGCAAATCACCCCGAATCCCATCTCTCTCTCTCTCGATCGAATGCACCGACCGTCGAGCTCCACAAGAGTCTCCGGCGACTTTTCCCATCATCGAGTGCCATTGGCGGAGAACTACAGACCGGGTACCGACGAGACCAGTGATGAATTACCCACATACAATCCTCGATCTTATATAGCTACCAAAAAACACAATCAAATTAGATCTGCTGAGGCAGCCATCCATCTCATCCCTCTTCTGTTGGTAATCTGTGCTATGATCCTCTGGCTCTTCTCAGACAAAGGTAATCAGCAACCTAAGTTACGCAATCTCTCTGGACATTGATTTTTCCCTTTTTTTTTTTTTTTTTTTTTCCTTTCTCCCCTTGTTAATTAGTCAAACCAGGCGATCAATTGAAATTTTATATGGTAGGTATGAGTCCATGTATTAAATTAGAGTCTATGGTTTCTATCGGATTAGTTTTGAACTTCAAATAACAGTTAACTGCTTTGAGGTTTGAATTGTGGAGAATCCACATATTGTTTCTTATCATATTTGTTTTAAATAAGTGAAAAAGATCTTCTAGGATGTATTAGCAATAAATCAGGGTTTTGGATTTGTGTTTTACTTTTGGGGTGAATAAGTTTGCTTCTTATTTTTGGGCAGGGTTGAAGATGCATTAACTGCAAATTGTAACAAGTCCATGCAGTACTATTTCACTTCAAACTTGAACTTTAAAGCTTCTTAATTTTGGTGATAAACATCATTATCTTTATTATCTTCAAGAAAGGTATGTTTAGGTTTGTAGAAAGTTTAGAAGAGAAGGCATCTAGGCCAAACAGATTAGAAGAGAAGGATAGCCATGTTGATGAATCAGCAGCAAGTAAAATCTCATGTAAAACAGCTGAAGATACAAACACTTCTACCTTATTAGATGTTTCTTTAATGCCAAAACCACAAATATCATCGAAGAAACCACACAAGTTACACTGGGGGTAATTATAATTAGTTATTATCAACATTTTATATCTTTTGCTGTTTATAAATTTTTTTTGTACTCATTTTGCGTATTAATTTGTAGGCTCGACACGAAAGAAAGATGGGAAAGGAAACCTCTCACTCAAGACTCTTAGTATCATTGTATTTTCTACAATATGAACAAATAATCGTTTTAACTATGTATTAAGTTATAAAAAAGCCCTGTATATCTTTTTTATTATCTTTTATTTTTTCTACAATGTATTACAAAGAAACTAAACCAAATCCCAACATTGGTGTGTAGTTGTTCTAGATCGAGTGTTTGAATGGAATCAGAGTTAAGATTGAAATATGAACACAAAATGTAAATAGAATCTATAGAGTAAAGTAGCGAAGGCTTTCAAAGATTACTCTAACTCTAGTAACTATCACCTATTTATAGGGATAATAAAAACATACAAAAAAAAAAAAATACATAAGGGCTTCTACATTCACACTTCGACTTTACAATATATCCTTATGCAAATAATCAATACTAAGTTACTAACTTCGATACTAACAAAAGACATAGGACGCTTCGACACCTTACAACTATTTCAACCCCAACATTCTCCCCCTTTGTAAGCAGTGTTGAATCCTAAGTCATCAGCATCTGAACAACTTGATGTAAGACCTTCTGAACTTCTATATACCACAAAATCGACTGACGAACTTCAGCTTTATCACCTTTTGAATTCTTCTTGCAATTATTGATACGAACCAGTAAATTTGTATACTGAGAGTTCGTATATCTTTCTACATCTTCAATCTAGAATAAGAACTTTGTAATTTTGTTGTTTTTACTCTTCCCAACATAAACAATTCCCAGTGGCTTCAAACAAATTTCTCCATCATCATAATTCTTCAAATTCAATGTACCTTTCAACAAAGATTGTGGGACAGTGACTTGTTTTCCCATTGTAAGTGCAAGCTCAACATCCGTCATTGCAAGACAATCATAGTAATTGTCTATGAAGAGCTTAATATAAGCAAGTCCAAGAAGAAAATCTTCTTTGTTGGTTAATTGTAGTTTCGAAACATCTGTATACTTCAAAATCTTAGCAACATTGATGAGATCATTGGTATTCATCAATGGAAAATATGCTATTGAAAAATCGAAAGCTACGTTGTTGGCTCGAACTGCATGGAATATGAAATTCTGTAATACCCCTTCGAATAACACATCCTTTGAGATATTCAAAACTTTCACAATCTTCACCAAGGACCAAATCTCTTCTTCTCTTTTCCAAGAACCGCATGGAATCTCAGCTTCAGCCTTTTAAATTCTTCATTGTCTTCAAATTTATCAACAATTTGATATTGCAAAGAAATGAACATCATTTCATTGATTGGGAAGTCTAGCTGATTGAAATATAAGTTTTTTATATCATAGCTCTTTTTGGGAACTTTGGCAAACTCATGCATAACTCCACTGAACACATTAGCCTCAATTGTTTCGTAGCTATAATGTTTGGATGGATCACCCTTATCTATACCAGAAGGATTGCTTTGTCTTTGTCGAAGAATACTCTAAATCTTTCTTTGTTTTTTCATTTCCTGCTCTAAGGGCAACTTTTTCTCTTCGGCAGTTGGTTCTATTAAAATACCCTTTCCTCTTTGCTTCAAATCTTTTGTTGATGGAGGTGCCTTCGAACTTGACCCAAGAGTAGATGATCCAATGACAATACCTTTAGTTAAAGGTTTCGAAGTCATGGTTGTAGATATTGGAAATGTAGTGGAAATTTGTGTGCTTGACATCTTACCAACAACTTCACATTGATCCGAATTCTTTGATGCACCCACCCCCTTATCTCCCCCTTGCACCCCTGTGGAAACAGGTGGGGCAGCCATGGGCATCAAGTTAACCAATTGTAGTAAAGGATCAAGACCAGCCTTCAGTTGAGACTCCGAAAACAGTTGTGAGATGGACTCTTGAGAAACTGTGGAAGTAGGAGGAATAGCAAGTTTCGAAATCATCTCCTTCACTTCTGCCAACACGCCTTGTAGATGTACGAACTCCTTAGAGTTAAGAGAAGTGTGATACTCAGCGAGCTTCGTGAATGCATCAACAACTATATCTACCTTAGTATGAATGCTAGAATAGTTCTGATCAACCTTCGCAACCTCCTACGTCATTTCTTGTCAAATTTCTTTAATCTTCAAGTTTACATCCTCTTGAACCCTCTTGACAGCTTGAATAACTAACATATGATGTTCCTTTGCAATAGCTCGTAAATCTTTGACTTCATGATTGAATGAGTCAAATTGAGATTTCACCCAAAGTTCGTTATTTTTGTCCATCTGGTTTAGCACTGCTCTCAGTCGAAGTTCTTAAGCTTTGATCATCATATCAACCTCTATCCCAATGACATTGCTTCGACTTCTAGTGTCAGTCTGAAGCTGGAGTAATGAATTAAGGTTGCGGTTGAGGATCTTGAATTGCTTACCAGACATTAACATATGATCTGGTATATCCTCCCCTTATGGATCAAACTGAAGATCAACAAAATAAATACACACATCATCATCCTTTGTTAGAGTATCAGGAATAGATGTTGGACCTTCAGTGGTTGCGAATGAAACATAGATGCGATTGGTTGATTGAGAATGCTTTGAAAGGTAGGTGAAATTGTGGATTGTGGTAAGGAAGTAGAAATTGGTGAATGAAATGGTGGTAACGAAGTAATCGCATCAATATAAGAAGCTTCAAAGGTAGATGAGACGATGATTGATTCCGAAGTACCTTGGCTTGAGAAATCGACACCCCATCACCCTTATTGACATTTACATCCATATCAGATATGTTCGTAGTGATGCCTGAAGTTCGAACCTCCTCCATATTGGACTTGACTTGCGGAACTTCGGGTGGTATGACCGAAGCCTGCTCAGGGATGGATAATTGCAAATGATCACCCAGATTGATGGTTGTGTCCACATGAAATGTTTCCACATTGCCATCAAGATTGTTAGTCGCCTCGAAAGTCAACTTGAATGGAGTCCCTCTTTGGTGATGAAAAACCCGTATCAGCATGTAGAAGTGGAGATGGAGACTTACCACTAGCACCGACATCTATTTCAAGAACCACCTCATCCAATGTATCTTTAACTTTATTTTGCTTCTTTTGAATCTTCTTCACCATTTCATGAGCTCATCGTTTCTTAGAAGATGGAGAAACAGGAGCTGGGAGCTCAAGAATTGCGACACCCTTGTGAGTGATTTGAGGCTTACGAACCCTCTTTGAAAAAGAAATACTCTTGGTAGAAGATGGGGACTTCTTAGAGACTGTTTCGAAATCAGGCCTGTCCGATGAATGACGAGGTCTGTGAGCCATTTTCTTTAATCTTTTGAGAACACCAGACTTCGAAGACATGACCACCTTTGCTGGTTGAGAAGTCTCTTCTTGAACAGGTTGAACAATCTCCTATTGAATAGGAACATGATTAAGCTTTGATGTACTAACCTTCTTTGTAACCTTCTTTGATGTAGAAACAGAAACAGGCTTCGATGGACTATCCTAAACAACTTTCTTTGAGCCCTTAGTTCTTTTGGAAGGACCGGCAACACCCTTCGCCAATAACACCCCAGTCTCAATCGAAGGATTTGTTGTTTGAAGACAGGCAATAAGAACAGGATTGACTTTGCGAAACATTGCATTAGGTATCCTTGCAATAATTGGAAAAACATTTGAATCATCCTCCACAATCTTAGGATGTTGATATATTCCGAACTCAACTTTAGGATCAAGATCCCCTCCTTCTCATAGACAGAATTCAAAAGTAAGCTCCAATAACGAGCATAAGAAATACCATTAACAACATTGGTATTAACAATGTTGTTTCCAAACTCTTGCCATAGCTGGGATGCATAATCAATAAGTAAGTCATAGTACAATCCCACGACCATAGCATAAACCTCTAATTTTGCCTTGTCCAATCCAACACTCCGACCTGTCAAGAATCAAAGGAAGATACCAAAGAGAAAGTTCCAAATGCAAGGTGTAGATGATTTCTTGAAGTCACTTATTCTGATAAGAGGTGGTTGATGACCCATCTCGTTGAACATATGAACCACCTGTTCATTTGTAACCTCATAAAAAGGTTCGACATTAGGATTGGGCAAACTGCTTCTTGGTCAACTTATACTTCTTCTCACTGGTCAATTGAAAGGTAACCACCTTGGTTGTCTTGTTAAATACAATAGTGGAAGTAGCAAGCGATAACCACGTCATTGGAATTGAGAAAGAAGCTGTTATAACAGTAGATAAGACAAAGTGATTCAAGGTAACGATAAGCATCTTCAGTTCTTCAGGATAAGCATCAACATTTAGTTGAACTGTAATTTGTGCTTTGAATCTTCAAAAGTGGTTGTGATGTTGCCTCATCAGTGGTTTGAGAAGGCTCCATGTTCACAGTTTTGGCCGCCATTATTAGGGTTTGCAGATATTTGAGAGGAAAAGGAATAATATTTGGGAAATATTTAACTTGACCTCATAAAGTTGGAATGAGATTACCCAAAACCCTTTTATACGTAAACCCCAACTTTAAATTTGAAGCGGTTATGCATTAAAATCGTGCCACGTATTCCCTTGAAAATCGGGCCTATAATTGTAAAAGTAGCCACATCCGAAAAGTGGTGAGCTCTGTTCCTGGAAAATTGTGAAGCAAAGAAACCGTCACATCAACCCATCTTTTTGCGTGCCCCAAGGGGATAAGAACCGTCAGCTTGGAGGTTGGGCTCTTTCGCTTTTGGATTGCGAAGCGAAGTAATATGTCAAACGTTTCGAAATCATCAGCCTGAGTTGGTATTACTCATAACCTAAAGGATTTCAGTGTGTGCATAAGTGTGCAAAAGAATGAGATAAGATCAAGATAAAAAATAAAATTAGATCTGTGATGTCAATTAAAAAATCGACATAAAGGTGGGTAGATGTGACAACCCGAAATTTCCATTGTACGAACATTATCTATTCAAAAGACGCTAGTCCAGTTTCTGGAAATTTCAGACTTTTCCGAACAAGTTTGTGTACATTAGGGTTTACGTTTCTGGACGTATCAGGAGAGTGGATGCTCCTGAAATTGTGAAACTTGAACATTTTAAGTTTCACAATGTTATAGTCCGACTTCCGGAATAAAAATATTTTCTGTCAAAATATTCCTGGACTATAAATAGATTTCTGAATTTAATTAATTCATTATTCACAATTCCAACTAGAGAAAAGCCAATTCTCTCTGACGGATCTTCGGGTTTTCATCCCAGATTGTGAGTCTACTTTACTAAATGTGTTTCAATACTTGTTAGATGCTTTATAACATCAATAACATGTTTAGATTACAAGATCCGGGACTTTACCGCCCAAGAACGTTCTTGGGGAGTAAACTCCAAAATGGAACTTTAAGGCTTCCTAGTCCCGATTCCGTGTTAGACAACTTGTTTAGGGGTTAAGGTATGAACATTTGAGACTAAAAAGCAACCAAGAAACACAAGTTAGAGGAGTTTACGGCCAAGGAATTTCTTGGGCCGTAAACCCCTTTTTAAGGGACATAAATGCCCTAACTTGCCTCCTTGAGCCTAAGGACTTTAACCACTAATACTTGTGCTTATTTTGGACTTCAAAACACTTCAAAATGATAGAATTATAGGAGTTTACGGCCAAGGAAGGATCTTGGGCCGTAAACCCCTTTTCTAAGGGTGAAATGCACCACAAACACCCCTAAGGCCTTAAGACAATTTACCTTGAACACATGGGACTTGGATGGGGATCAAAGGACTTCATCATCACTCCTTAAAAGGAGTTTACGGCCAAGGAACATATCTTGGGCCGTAAACTCCAAGCGATGACCTAAATGTGTGCATCTTGTCCCCATTAGCCTTAGATAAAAGTATGGAAGCTATCCTACACATGAAAGGGCCTCAAATGAATTAAAAGCCATCACCCATAGGAGTTTACGGTCGTAAACTCTAGGGTATATGGACTATAGGCCGTAAACTCCCCTATGGAGCATTCTAGGGCCTTAAACTACTTCATGTATTATTCCAACAAAGCTAGGAGTGTTCTTGGATCAAGATAACACTTTAAAACACCCAAAACCACCATATGAGGAATTCACGGCCATAAACCCATGAGTTTACGGCCATAAACTCCAAAGGGTGGGGTTTGTTGGGTGGTGAACTCTTATGCAAGGCCATTTGATGTTTCAAACCCTTTTGCCTTGTCCCGTATCAACTTAGATGCAACCATTAGGACCTATAACACTTATACAAAGTGTATACATGTTCCTAATTGTGTTAACTTACTTTCTTAAGTTATTATGTGGCTAATTAGTTATATATATGCTTATTATATGATAACTAGGCTCGAACGTGTGAACAAGTCTCCGTTTGACACTTAGCACGGTACCCGATACATCAATTCAATCTACTCACCACAAGTGAGTTTATACCCCTTTAATCAACCTTTGAAATACTTTTAAATGTTTTAAATACTTTATGGGGGGGGATACAAGTCAAATACTTATAGTTATTACATCAATCACATGTGATTGCATTAATCACATGTGATTAATAACTAGAAAACCAATGATTTTATCACTGTTCAACTGTTTATCAAACTGTTTCACTTCAAATGTTTTACAAACTCTTTTTACTTATCAAATGCTTTTATTAAACTTTGTTTTATTTCTTATAAATTGCATGCCCATATATGTATATATATATAAATAAATGTTTAAAGGGCTTAGGAAGGCCATCCGCCCTATTTCCTTTTCGCGCACTGAGATGTGGTCTGGTGGGATTTCGGGTGACCATCCGAAGGTCGTTTCAATATTAGTTATATATCATATATACATGTATAGACATAAAAGTACTTCCATATTCATATTTATCAGTACATCAATAGTTAGTTACCATCGGGGTAACACAATACATATACATATACTAGAAACAATACATATACAATGATGCTAGAAACAATACATATACATATACTAGAAACAATACATATACAATGATGCTAGAAACAATACATATACAATGATGCTAGAAACAATACATATACAATGATGCTAGAAACAATACATATACAACTATACTAGAACGAGAAACAGTACATATACATGAATACTTTATTATTGTGATTTAAATCGGAGCATGACTTAACTGTCATGGCTCGAGTTGTAGCCAGAATTCTCTTGAAGGGAGAGCGTGAGTTTGCGTATAGATCTATACTGGATTGACAATCCTACACCTTGCTGCTAGCTACAGCCGGACCTGCAGGTCTGCGGGTGCCAAACGTCATTCCGTTATTACGACCATTCATTTGTCGTTGTTACTAGTCGATAGTATGGTGCAATTTATCACGTAATGCCTTAATATAAATCCGGTTTAAGGTAGTTAGTACAACAGTAGTTCTTATAATACAAGGCTACAGTACTACAATGATTTACCCATTACATATTTTTAGTGATAACCTCACTTAAACGTTTATGTACAAACTATATTTTGTTAAATGATAGTTACATTTGGGAAATTACACACTTTTACATCAAACGAGCATACAAAACAGTTAAGCCTTGGTAGAAGGCTACTTTAATAGAAAATATAGGTTTTTCTGAGAGATTCAAACTTTTACAAACAATTGCAAACCTTTACATACATTTTACAAACTTATACTTTATACATGTTCAAACATTTTTGGATGACAAATACCGACACTAAAATACTTATGAACTCACCAGCTTAATGCTGATAAACTCTTTCAAAATAACTTGTATTCTCAGGTCATCAGTAGACAGGTACCGAGGCCAGCTTTTGAGAAGATGGAGCGCATTCAAGACTCATCTTATTATTTTGATATACGTTATTTTTGGTGTCTATAATGTACAGAACACACTTGTATTAAAATTATATATTTAATGCAATGGATGATGTTGTTTGCTTATTTACATTTACTGTGTTGTGATACTTACATGACGTCCTCCGCCCCAGAACGTTTCCGCCGTTCTTGGTTTTGGGGTGTGACAGATTGGTATCAGAGCATTGTTTATAGTGAATCAAGTGTATCAACCCATAAA